AGAGTTTAGGGAGGGGGCAGAGGGAGAGACTGATTCAACTCACGCAGACACAACATCACATCTCAACTTAAATATTTGACATAGGATTTAGACAGTACTGCAGATAACCAAGTGTGCAGCTGCCTGTTTAAATGTAGCATTAGATGAGATTTCTGTGTTTTTTTAACAGCATCTTGAAGTTGCCCTTGGGCCAGTCTCGGCATGAATTCATCTCATCTGTCTGTTTCATAGAACGATAACTCACACAAGACTGACGCATTCAGCCCTCGAATCATTCAACGAAAACCTGTCAGACAAGCAAAACTTACAGCATTACGTCAGAGATGAACCTCTAAATCAATCACAGGGGAGTGCTAAATCCCAAGTGTGTGCACACATTTGTGAACACATGCTAACATGTGATTCCCCACCCCCACTTTCTGTCTCTGACCATTTATCTTCTGCAGGACTGAACTTACAAACGACAAAGCACAATCACACCACCGGCAATCAATGACATTCAAGAGTTCTTCACTCTTTCTCCAGTGTGACCGACTCAAGGGGGGAAGCCAACACATGAGCAGAGTTATATAGAGTTCATTGTTTGATATATTTATAGGTAAGGCAGCAACAAATGCTCCTATAAGTGGTATCATGTGTACAAAAGGGCATCAACTAATGATTATTGTCATTATAAATGATAACATTTTAATTGATTAATTCATCCTTTGTACTATAACACATCAGAAACATTTGAAAAATGCCAATCAGATCCAATTGTGGCATGATCAAATATCTTGTATTGTCTGACTTATGGTCCAATTATCAAAAGTATTCAATTGACTGAAGCATGGAAAAAAGGAAAACAAGCAAATACGTTAGAAACGATTACATTTATTTCACTAAAGACTAAGAAAAGCAGCCCAATTTCACTTTTAAGAAGCTAAAATCTGCATCAAAATGTGTGATTAAGAACTCCATTTATGATTTCAGCAGCAGGTCTAAGCCTAGCTTCTATGATCAAGTTTTTCAAGATTTTCTCCATCAATCCTCTTCCTCCTAACATCAAACAATTTCAGGTCACACTCATTTTACCTGCTCACGCACATTTCAGCATATGAAACCATTACAGATTTAGCTGACAAATGACATTTCACTAGACTTAATGAAACAATCCCAGAGTCCCATCATCCACAGCAACAACCAATTCCAGCGCTCCACAAGTTAGAACGTACCACGTCTTCACAAGCTAGGCTAAGCTGCCACAAATGTAGGGCAGCGCTGAATGAGAGCGCTGCGTTGCCTTGGGGTCACGCAAGCTGTAGAGTAGAAGGGTATTTCTCTTGGCAGGGACACACAGAAACACACATATGCATACGCTAACACAATTCCATACTGACTTATAACTGTGACCCCATAGTCTTCAGTAAGCATGCATGCGTAAAACACACAAAACATGCACATGGGTACACAGAAGGATGGATAACACACTCCACATCTTTCTACCTCGCTCATTATCAGAAGAGTAACTTGTCAGTCGCTGTCAGTCGCCCACGCACCTGAGTCATTCCAACCAATTACCCCATTCACTGTCTGAGCACAGAGAAAAGATGGAGAACAGCATCTTCAAAAAAGGTTTTCTCAGCATGACCAGGGGCTGCTGAAGAGGGCTGGGTGTTGACAGCCAAAAGATTGTAAAGAGATATTTCTGAGTGTGAGAGGGCTTTGTCTTGTCTTGAGTGAGAGCTGTAACAGATGAGTCGAAGGGGAAGGAAGGAAGATAACATCTCTCAGGAAATGTAGAGAACTCCAACTTCTCGAAACTAACTTCTGGCTATGAATGTATTTCTCATAAGGAAACTCAGTTTGCCGTTTGGTTATGCAATCCAGTGTTGATCATTCCTTAAGAATTCAGTTCCTCTGTGGGATCTGAAGACTTGCCGTGGCACGTGGAAAGTCACAAAGGTTGACACCAGAGTTTTGAGTCACAGGTTAAATTCCTGCTTTGATTGTGAGTGATGTTTGCATCTAGGTAAGGGTGATGGATTTCTGAAAGGGACATTATACAACTAAATACCAAAGCTGTAGCTACATGTTTCATAGGACTTTTTACAAATTGTGTCAAGGCAACAATTGTCTTTTTCAAGGGTATGTAAGTCATAGACTCAACACATATATTTATTACAGACACAATAGAGACAAAAATCGAAGAAGTTGCTTTTTCCTTAAAATCTTCTGGTTTGATGGTCCTGCTTTTTCACATTTAGTTTTTTCCATCAATGTTTCTCCCACATAATCAGAGATTGTACATTGTGTAAGTGAATAAATGCCAGTGAAATGACAAGTTACTGGTCTTAAATGAGAAGACTTCATGTCATGTCAATGAAAGAGTATGGAAGACTTACAAAAAAAGAAAGAAAGAGGACACTGTCTTATTGTACTCGTCACTAGGTCAGTCAATATCATATAAAGAGAAGCTAATGCCGACGACATTTAACACAATGCTTACAAAACTTATATTTTATGAACCTTGAGAATCCTACATAACTGTTGATCTGTATAATGACATTGGGGGGGGTGCTGCCTACACAATAAATTACTAACTTATTTAAACAAACTGATAAGGTCACCCTCATTGGCCATCAGCTGACAGTACATCTCTACCTTTAAGAATACCATAAAACAACTACTGAATGCCTGATCCGCTGTTAAATATTCATTTCATGACCCACCTTAATTGTGAACATATTAGTGGGTAAATGATCATTAACATATTTATTAAAGAGCTTAGTCGCAAAATCAATTCCGTTTCTGAGGATATGATCTTTTAATCTTGGCTGTAGAAAATCAATTTGGCACCCTGACCTCCATTGTCATTTAAGAAATGAGTAACACCAGCTGACCACAGATTAACAGCCTTAAGGACTTACCGAGAGCGTCGTTCCTGTAGCGTGCTGAAGCCGGCGAAGGACTGACTCCGGATTATTCCGTTGGGCCCTCCGGGGGAGTGGGTACCGGTCGCCATGATCTCTGGAACACGGGACGACACTCCTGGAAAAAACACGGACACACAAATCCATGAAAAACAAATCCTTTGACACTTATAGGACACCGAGTTACAGATTCATAATCAGGGTTAGTAATACATCCAAGGTAAAACAAAAGCATCCTATGAACTCAATTAACCCCCAAAAAACATGAACAGAAAGGTTAATTAGGGTGCATGGAGGATTGTGCAATGCACCACAAAGTAGTTGGTGAAGCGGTCGTTTGTGATGTGGATGAGCAGCATTCACAGCCTGCACTAACATGTCGCGACTACTCTCGCCTTCCTGTCACCACTCAACAGAAACATACCTCAACTGTTACCGTTTCATGCTCTCCTTCCTCAGGCAGGTGCTACAAAACACGACTCTTGTCACTTTTTGTTAAGTGTTTTCTGCATATTTGTTACCTGGACTAAGAGGTCAAGCTCTAAAAAGGCATTTCACCACAATGATAGCTGTTTAAAACCAATAGATAAAGTACAAGCAGTAGTCACTACATAATTGAAGATGGCACCACAGACCTGTGTTTCCAGGAAGAAACAATCCAGACCATCCAATGGCTGAGTTATCTAATCAGCTTCTCTGATAGTTAAGACATCTTTTGTCACTGTGTCTATATTTAGCAATAGCAGCCTCAGATTTCATCCTTTTTTTTTTTTTTTTTTAAATGATGTGGACTGCAACATGTCTCATGTGGCCACTTAGGGAACAAGCTGAAAATAGAACGAGAATCATCCACAAATAGCATCAGATAATGATGTAGCAGAGATGAAGTGAATCTACTGAGATAACTGAATGACATATTCAGCTTGTATAGATCATGGTGCTTCTAGTGGCAGCAGGTTGGCATTTCAACTTTAAAAAGGCAATTGATTGAATATTTGTACCAGTTTTAAAGGGATAACTAGGATGTCTACAACTGTGATACTAGGATAAGGTACTTATCCATAGTCAGTGTGTTGTACGCCGCCAGATTAATGAAACAAAGTGTTTACCGCCCTGAAGCTCAGCAAAGAACTGCTGTCGACGGGGACATCAGCAAACATATTTTATCCACCTTTGCTTAGTTTGGATTCACCAAGTAAACATAATTATTAAAAGCAGTTTTACGTCAGTGAAATTTCAAAAAACAGAATGCCGGAAAGCTGAACGCAGGTGGCGGAAAACAAAACTCAAGATACATCATGATATTTACTGTACAAGGAAAAACTATTCACCTACGGTCTTGAACTGAAGAAAGCTAGACAATCATTTTTCTCTGATCTTATCAACAAAAATATTAATAACTCCCGTTTATTATTTTCTACTGTTAATATGTTAACTAACCCCAGAATGGAAATAGCCCCTGAACTAATCTCCACTCAGAAATATAATGAGTTTGCTTTGTTCTTCACAGAAAATATCTTAAAGATCAGGCAATATATCAATTCCGAGTCTTGACCCTATGTTCCCGTTGCAAGGACAAATAATTAACCAAGCAAACATGTCAGAGTTTGCTCCAGTCAGCCATAAAACACTAGAAGACGTTATATTCCATCTAAAAACAACTACATGTAGTCTTGATAATCTTCCGACAAACTTTTTTTAAATGTGTCTATTGCTATATTGCCTCAGATGTACTGCAGATTGTGAACATCTCACTCCATTCAGGTGACTTCCCCAAGGGCTTGAAAACTGCAGTTATTACGCCACTGCTAAAAAAGAAAACCCTCGATACAATGACAATCAGTAATTACNTTTATCGAAAGCATTATGTGCAATGATTCAAAAACACATTGGGATTCAGGATGATTTTAAAGGTTTCGTAGCAAAGAAGGGAGACTGGCGTTGATGAGAAAGTCTCCCTTCTTTGCTACGAAACCTTTAAAATCATCCTGAATCCCAATGTGTTTTTGAATCATTGCACATAATGCTTTCGATAAAGGACTGTCTATTGCAATCACTGATGATGTGTTTGTGTGTGTGTGTAGGTGTAACTCTTTCATGGGGAACTCGGTGGTGCAGAAGAAGCCTCAGTCCAAGCCAAAGAAGTCCCACCTGTCGGGACACAAAGGAGGCAGCAGCTCCAGAGAGCCGCAGCCCAAAAGACTGGAGGAAGTTTACAATGCTCTCAAACAAGGCCTGGAGTGAGTAACCCTAACACTGATTTACATTTATACTGCATATACACACTTCACTCATGTATTCCTCTTCAATACATGAACTTATCAAATGTTCTTTTAAGTTATTTAGAAAGAAGTGAGTTTAAATCCATGCATTTTAATATTCTCAAAGATTGATAATTTGCTTGTTTTTTTGTTTTTTTTAACCTCAAGTTCTTTTCTTTTTTTGTCCCCTAGTGAGTACCTTGAAGTTCATCAAACAGAGCTGGACAAACTCATGTCTCTGATGAAGGACATGAAGAGGAACTCTCGCTTGGTGAGAAGCTAATGCACACATTTTACAAAATAAGTGGTTTCTCTTTATTGTCAGTTAGATAAAAAAAGATGAATACCACTCTCATGTATCTACTGTAAATATTCAGTTACAGCCAGTTAGCTTAGCTTAGCAAAATCAAAGCTGACAAAAGTGAATCTACAGCACAAACAAATAGTTTCTTTTACATATGAAATGTAAGTAAAAAAATGAGCTTTTCAACCAAGTCAAGCTGGTTACCCCCCGTTTGCCAATCATTTAGCTAATCATCTACTGACTAGGTAAAGATTTAGCTTACATGCAAAGTAGTGCATCTCTCAGCACAGAAGCAAATAAGAGTAGTTTTCAAAATATAAACTGTTCCTTTAAACTCACTGTTTTCTCACTGAAGATTTCGTCTGTTTTATTTTCATATTTAATGATAATGCATCACATACAGTAATAATCATTGACTTTTGCGTTGTCGATCCACATATGACGAACACATTTAGATTTTTTTTCAATGCACACAGTAACATACACTTTGTGCTCATTCAGAGTAAAGGCTGCCACTGGAAAGTGTGTTTAACTAGATCCTTTTTGATGCCAGACAACTACAGTCTGCTTTGCATTTTATAAGCAGCCTCAGCTGTGCCGTTTTCTCTGCTAACTGTGATTGTGTGTGTGTGTTTCTCTCCAGGGAGTGCTGTATGATCTTGACAAGGTGAGTTGATGGAGGGGAGGGTCTGCTGTAACAACCGCTTCAAGTTCGCCGTTTGCAGGGGGGAATCTTTGATGTAAAAAAATCTAACGAGGAAGGAGAAAAAGCTACTAAAGGGGAAGGAGAGTGTAGAATTGAGGGGCTGAAGGATAAAGGAATAAGGGAAAAGGATGAAGGAAAAAGAGAGTGTGTGATGGGACAGGTGAGCTGGCTTGGGAGGGATTAGCTGTATTTTCATATAAAACAACAGATATCTCTGTTTAATGATCAGAATATGTCACTTTTTTACTAGCTTGCAAAGTGTGCCTCATTAGATCCTGCGTTATGGACATACAAATCAATCAGACTGCTTTAAATGACATGTAGGCACTAGTTAATGTGTGTTCTGTCTGTCTTTCTGCAGCAAATCAAAACCATTGAGAGGTACATGAGACGCCTGGAGTTTCACATGAGTAAGGTAAGAACTGATATGATGGACTTATATCAGTCACAAGACAACTCGTTTAGAATTTTGTTCCGAGTCTTTTGTCCGATTTGTTTTCTGCTTGGAAAACATCAAGTGCTGTTAAAGAGATTTGCCTTTAAGCCTCTCCACACAGTTATTCAGAAACCACAACACTGGTGCATTCTTCGGCCTCTCCTAAAACAATAGTTTGACGTTTTGGGAAATGCGCTTGTTTACTTTCTTGACAAGAGTCTGATGAAAAAATCAATGCCACTCTCATATCTGTTCTTTAAGTTTGAATCTACAGCCAGCAGCTGATTAGCTTATCTAGCTAAGCATGACGAGAGATTGGAGACAAGTATAATATGACAAATTAACAGAAGGGATTATATTTTGTTGTCTCTTTCACTCTGTGCCAGGATGTCGAGAACAATGAAACATCCTGTTTTGATGTAATTTTTGATGTTTGCAGGAAAATAACATATTTGGGTTTTCACTGCCAGCTGGATTAAGTTATTTTCACCCAAGAACATTCATTTATATAGATTTATTTTGTATCCGTTACACAACCTTTTTGTGGTGCAGAAATCTGTACATGCTCTTATCTGGTTCATGTGCTGACGTATTAGGGAAGTTTCCAGCTGTTTTCAATAGTTCAGGCGACAGGTTGCTAGGTAGGGAAACTTTTTTTCCCATATCCTCTTTTGTGGTCTCCACCCTGGTAGTCGGTTCTGGACATTAAGCCCCTCCATGGTGGCACGGCTCTGTGACATTTCTTCCACATCCCCTTTTTTGTAATCGGGGACAGCAGGCAATCAGAAACACACCGCCCAACAACAGCGCAGCTCTAAAGGTAACCATGGTTACCCCGGAGACAAAGCCTCTGAAGTCCTTAGGAGCACAGAGGAGACGTTTATCGGTGACCTGGACCCTTCATGTTCACATACATCCCGACGGACCATAAAACTCACCTTTGTCCAAAAGCAAACATGTGTACAGAACAACAGAGAAGAAGAAAAAGAGTCTGGACAGATTTGTGTGTTTCCGAAGGGGTTGAAGATGATACTGAATCTGGGTCAGGGCACCTGGTGGGTTACAGGGAGAAGTGATTGGCAGCGGTAAAGACGAATAATGAGAGGAGAGAGATGGAGGAAAACGTCTTGAGTCATTTGAGAATACATGATAATGCCTTAGAAACTAAGGGAAGTTATCTGCCTGCAACTTTGACCTTGATAACAGAGAGACGATTCAACGCTTGCTTTGTCTTGTGAGGTTGTCACAGGATTCAGTTAAAACAAACACACACTCAAAGCCTCTCCAGTTAGCATTCAACTTTACTCTGAAGATCTTCTGTTCTTTCAGACTCTGTGCAAAAATAGATTTGAACGCACTTGTAAATATTTGAAAGAGTGACTGATTCATCTTGTCAGGCAGACGAAAAGCGTAGAAGTTGAAGCGTAACTAAAAAGTAAGTTAAATCCAGCACTCCCTGTTCTCTTTCATTCTAAATATGTGGCAGTGCTTCTTATCCAAACCCTTGTCTTTTCATCTCCTGCCTGGCTTTATGTGGGTTATTGGCTGGAAATGAAAGAGTTTTAAATACACAAGAACTAATGATGACAGAAATGCACGTTGGATTCAATAATGAAACGTATGCCAAGTCAACAAGCAGTATTTGATAACCCTAGCCTGCCATATCAAAACACACACACGCATGCACGCACGCACACAGGACAGGTCCATTTTCCAAACCTCAGAATCAGCAGATGGAGACAGTCAGATCAATTGCTAAGCTAAGAGAATTGGCCAAGCACAAAGGCATCATGATCAGGAAATTAAATAACACGCACGCACTCACACACACACACACGCACGCACGCACGCACGCACGCACGCACGCACGCACGCACGCACGCACGCACACACACACGCACACACACACTCTCTCTGTCTCTCTCTCACACACACACACACACACACACACACACACACACACACACACACACACACACACACACACACACACACACACACACACACACACACACACACACACACACACTAACTCTCAAAGAGGCTATATGCTTGTAAAAGGAGTGGTACTAGTTAAGGAGGATTATTCTTTGATAATATTGTATGTTTTTATTCTGTTTTCAATCAGAGGTGTTTGAAAAGCTAGTTGTGTTTGTGAATAATACTTTTTGTTAAGCTACTCCGATAAAACAAAGATTGTTTATTACAGTTTTATAAAATCATTGTAAATGTTGGCTGATGTTGAGCCGTCTGAAGCGTATGTGCTATTGTGGTGCAACCATATCTATGTTTTTAGGAGAGAGATAGTGATGATTGGCCTGTAAAGAGGAGGAACAATCATCGCCTTATTATACAATTAGAAAAATCTGACGGAGTGATGAGTACCTCAGATATCAAAATTGCTGCCTCAGTAGAGCATGAGCAGAAAACGGATGATAAAACATGAATGTGTGTAAATCAAAGTTAGATGATCAGTCACTAAATATTTGGTAAACCGAATATATCTGAGTGTCTAAACAAAACATTGTCAGACAGATACAGAACATTGTGTATAATACTGGATCCAGATAAAGGCAGCATGTGTTTTTTTTTTACCCCATCTCAGAACAGGACAGTCAGTTATGTATTTAGTTGTGAGCTACAGTGTTCATGTCAGCGTTCCTGCTCAGGCCCAGGCCTTTCTCTTTGTGCTGGACAGCTGCCGAGAGGGATGACTTAACAATCATCCATCAGCACGTTGTTAGTGTATATGTGTGTGAGTGTGTGAGTGTGTCATACATCAGCCCCGTCAGTCTTTTGTTCCTGCTCGTGCTGCTGACTGCCTGCAGATGTCTACAGCCGTAATTGGCACACATGGAAATCGCAGGTGGCCCAACACAACCCCTATGGTGTGTGTGTGTGTGTGTGTGTGTGTGTGTGTGTGTGTGTGTGTGTGTGTGTGTGTGTCGCTAGTTTCAGCAGGGCATCATTAAAGAGATGAGTGACAAAGATTGAAGGTGAGAATAGCAGCTGCCAAGCACCTCCTCTTCCCACAAGGGAGAGGGAAATTGTGTGTTAATCAAGTGCCAAATTCAATCCAGAATGAGTGTAAATACTTTGCATGTGATTATTTTTTAATATAGGGACTCTACTTCCCTTGAATGCTAATCTGGCTACCAACACACGCCCACAGTTCCCCAGAGAGGGGCTTGTGTGTTTGATGCTGTTTGATGTGGCCCGCCTGTTTTAATCTGCTTATAATCACTCGCCCTCTGGCAGATAGTGTGTGTTTGTGTATACGTGTGTGTGTGTGTGTGTGTGTGTGTGTGTGTGTGTGTGTGTGTGTGTGTGTGTGTGTGTGGGTGTGAACCCAACATCCCACAATCCTCAATAATGGCCATATTTTAAGAGGATTTCTGCCATATCCTAAAGATTCTCTGCTCATATTTAAAATCCCACAGTTTTAAAGTCTGATATAGAGTAGACACAGACAAAATCCTTTAAAACCCCCAGTGATACTTCAGAAAAAAGCAAGCTGATAAACAAGTATTATTATTTTGCAATTTCACAAGGATTAGCTTTGGAGGGACTAAGATATGGAATTAAATGGATATTTCACCCTTTATACACACGATATTATCCTCAACCTTTTCATAATTGATTCCCAAATATATATTTTCCTATAATCCCTCACTGCTTCTATGAACTATTCATTTTTTGTCGTCTCACTGAACTGTAATTGATACAGGGAGTCTGGGTCCATTAGAGGTCTCAATGTAGAATACATTTACATTTAATATCTGTTCACATCTGGTAATTAAGAAGGGTCGGATGGTTTTTCTGTGGGATGAATTTAAAGCAGGGTTCTTTTGTATTGAAATGTCCTTTCAATACACACACTGGTGCCATATTTGTGATGGTAATTGCTTGTAGAAAAAGTAATTATTGCTATTGTTATAGAACAAATGTTACCAATGATCCATTATTAATGTTGGGGATGTTATGCATATGTTTGTATGTTCTTAATTTCCTTTTCTAATACATTTTAAACTCATCATATAATCTCATTTTTTATGTTGTCCCTACATGACTTAAAGACCAAATGCAATACAAAAGCTCAGGAAGACAACACAGAAAATATTAAATACACAGCAATGAAACTTGATGCGTGTATGCCAGAGAAAATATTACATGTTATATATAAAATATCTCTAAATGTTTTGAATTTAGATCATTGTGACCATCTGCCTGTGTTTAGGTTTCTGTCTTTGTTTGTGTATTGCCTTATTAAATTCACTTTTTTTTTCTGGGGTGAAATGCCCGAGGCGAGGCAATATGCTGACGGTCCTCTGGAGTGGCGCTTGGCTGACCCTCACAAGGACATTTCCTTGAAGGCAGCAAGGGGCCATTGTAATTGGGGACAAAAATGAGCTTAATTAGCTGATAATGATATGATTACTGATTGCCTGAGCAGAATGATGGCTATTCATCGGCCCTGTTTGTTCAGTTCCACTTTTGTCATACATCATTTTCTCCAAATGAATACCTTATTGTAGTTGTCTGCTTTTATATACAGTAATTTAACATCTCTTGACTTAATAAGTGCAAGTTAACTTGGATGAAATTCTTTCTTTTGGAAAATTGAGTCACCTCTCTAGTTTTTGTTTGTTTTATGTAAACAAACTTGTTTAAAAGCTGTCGATGTTGGCTCTGAATCAGCTCTAGATTAATCTGAGAGCGGAGAAGAACAGTTGTGGTTGGAGGGTATTTTATAGCTGGCTCAGCTCAGCTGCTGCAGCCCAGCCACATACACCACATACCACAGACAGGGTGGGTCCCAGTCGGGGGTGGGGGAACTGGTTGGTTTGAGGTGGAGTTGGTGGGATTGGGGTGTGGCTTTTTGTATGTATGTGTGACCAGATATGTTATTTTAACATCAACAGTTTCGTTACTCATCCTCTTGGACAGAAACATCACATTTTCACCAACTGAAACATTCATGTGCCCACCCACCACAACAAAACCATGCTCTCTCTATACATGTAAAAATGTCCACAAACAAAGGCAGTGTACAGTTCACACTCAAAGATACAAAAACAAACACACAGAAGCTGTTAGTACGGCAGGAGCCCAAATGGCCCATTTTCTCCCACTTCTCCCTAATGAGTTCCATAAAGAGCGCGAGGCATCAATATTTCAGCGTCCTCGTCAGGCAGCCTGCAATATTTCCTTTTGATGGGGCGCACCAGAGGTGTTTTGTTTTGCACGGCTGCCACTTCGATCAGATGTGAATTCAGGGAAGGCAGGAAATGATGGAGACAGGATGCGGAAAAACTGGACTGCTGGTGAATTGTGGTTTCTTTGAGATGACTCGGCAAAATTAGAGAATGAATGGACCCCTAACTATGTTTGGACTCTTAATTATGTTTTGGACATTTCCAAGTTTAACTGGTGCAGTTGTATTATACATTGGGATTGCACTAAGACTTTAGGCAGAAATGTATTCGTACCCTACTTTCCATAGTCCAACATGACCCCAACACATCTAGTTTTGATCATAGACTACACAAGAAGTTGATATAGTCAATGTGATGTCACCCATTTGTGACATATTTTGGCAACCAACATTGGCACAAGATGATGGACCAAAGTACAATTTTAATTCTGAAAAATACATTTTCAGGTGACCAAAATGTTTCAGTTAACTTGAAAACACATTGAGAGAAAAAGAAAAAACATTTAAGATATTCATAATTATTCAGAATCTTGTAAGATCTAGGAAAGTAGCCCACAGAGTTCAGACCAAACAATTCACATTACCTTTCCAGAAAAGTCCCCGTTGGGTTAAATTAATCTATTAGTGTTGTGGTTACAACATAATCTTATCTTGATGACTCATTCCAGTTGAAACTCCAACGTTTCAGCTCCACAGTAAGGCGGCAGGATGTGGATGGACTCGTTCCCTCTCCCTGTGGGTTTTGGGTTAGATCAGGCTGTTGCTGCAAACTGAAATCGGGCAGACGTCTCCAAATGAGCTCTAAACGCCGTCTGTTGTTCCCCCCTCTTTGGGAGTGTCCCACTGGGCTTGCAGCCACTGGAGAAAACAGTCACACTGATACATAGCAGCTGTATCTGCTCACTGCTTTCTCCTCTGTGTATCTCTGTCTTGTCTCATTTCTCTTGATAACTGTCCTTTATCTATATCTGACTTTCTCTTTCATTATTTTTGCTATCAACCCGTTCGTTATCTCTACCTTTACAGCCTCTTTTCTTTTTCCTGGAGTCTGAACATTGTAAAAGTCACATTTTATTTAGACACTCTTTATATACCGTAATTTTCGGACTATAAGGCGCACCTGAATATAAGCCGCAGCAGCGGCATACCACTCTCGGTTCCACTTTTACTTTTGCGCGCTACCTGTCTCACTCTTTTCCGGCCTCCAGCTTTTCC